TGAGCAGTTTCTTTTTTATCGTGACATTGTAGCTTACGAAATTTCTGGTTATAATGATAATGAGCATTTGTTATTTTACTCTGTCCCAAATTAGTAATAACTACTCTTCTTTTATGGTGGCAAGAAGAGTCAAGGTCATGCTCTAAGTCATTTGGAATGCGGATTCCTCTTTTCCGCGCACCGTCTCTCTTCAATTTGAGATAGAAATGAATGTATATGAGTTGTCCAAAGCGACGTCAGGCCTATCTACCGATCGAGCACTGCGGAAGTTGTATCAACAATTGCAGAGTATTCGATTTCATAATGAAATTTATGCCAAATTACATTGGAGAGACTATCGCCAATTTATACCCATTCCATATCCACTTGCATATGTGCTGACCGTCCTTTTATTTGCTGTAGTGGTAGTAATTTTAAGCTGCAAAATGCCTACTCATATACCGTAAGTGTGTTTTTGCAGCAGGTTCCCTTCAGTATAATCTGGAACGCCTTCTCGGTGGTCCTTTTGGTTTCCGCAAGCATGTGTACAATCATAGCAAGTATTAAGCGTTTGGAATCACATTTCGCCGTCACCGTAACTGAGGTAGAGAAAATAGTAGAAGATATTAACTGTAACTTGATGTTTTGACTGATTGTATTACAGATATGAGAACTCATGATCTTCCTAGGATATATGCGCCATTATATTTACCCCATTCCCTGAGCTACAATCTTCAAATGACCTATCGGGATGGAAATCTTGCAAACGTTCCTGTGAGTCTTTTGGTCGAGGGCGATATAATCAATTTGCGACCTGGTCAAACAATTGGTTGTGACTGTATTCTAGTGACTGAAGCGCCTGTAAGTTTTTTTTCGCCCAGACTCATTTCTCTTTTAGGATGAAGGTTCAGTGAGATATAGTGCCGGTGATATTTTTTTACCTCACCTCGCAAAAGACCTCACCAATCGAAGCCCTTACCCTTCGATGCATTTGGTAGACAACTCCCACCTAGCAGTCGTCACTGCTTCACCAGTCATTGAACAGATTAAAAACATCCTGAAGCAGAAGGCCCATAATAAAAAAACCCAGATACAAAGCACATCATCGTTTGTATTCCTCAGAGGTTCTGTATTCTGTTCACTCATGATGGCGTCAGTCACCTTTATCCTTGGAATCATAATTTCGTCCATAAGAGTCTTCGTGCACAATCGCTTGATGCTGATATCGGTCGGTACTATGTGGGCTGTTACAATGAGTGCTTTTCTTCTTATCACTGCAATCAGTCTATTTGCTCCACTTATATGGATTCTAACTCTTGGAATGAGTGTCGCCCACCTTCGTAAGTACGCGAGGTCCTGTGGACTCACAAACAGAAAAATGAATTCGTCCTCCACTCGTGGCCTTTCATTGCTGCGAAATTTGGTGAAAACTGTAAGCCTTGTTTTGTGCCTATCACTCCTTGTGCCTTTCATCCTGATATCCCATTCCGCTTCAGGTTCTCGTTCAGCCTGATTCGCGTATGGAGCAGCTACTGTTACACCTCGGTCGAATCAGTAGAATGTGTTTTGTAGATAAAAAGGGGATAATAAGTCTTCCAATTCCTACACCAGAGAAACTCTTCTTCTTTCGTGAGCGCCAAAACCGACATCGTAAAGCAATGCGCACGCGTTCTCTTGGCCCCAACCCCATTCCCCCATCAAATGAATTTCTTGCTCCTCCACCACCCACCTCGAGCTCTTTCGGCACATCCAGAAGCCCTATTAAGGCGCGAAACATCATTTCCTGCGTGAGTTTTTACCTCTCGTCATTCATACTTTTCAATCCAAAAATAGTCATTGACATCTACTGTTGATTTTAGCATGCCGTCGAAAGCCGCTTCTGGAGATCGCGGGGCCCACGCAGCTCCCTTCTAAACGACCCATGTGTTCCAGAAATCCTCAATATCAACTCTCCGCCCGATTATCTTTACAAGCCTCACTTCGAATCTCCAAAATGGGGTAGATATTTGGACTGCCTCAAGCCGATCGGCCTCAATCTCCTGCTAAACAACTGTCAACCCCTGACTCGCGAGCACTACGCGGCTTTTGCGGACCACCTCACGCGAATAACAGCCGTCAGTCAGCAGTACTTTGCAAAAGACGGATCTCAAAGCAAGGCTGAGGCAGTTGCGGTAGTGAATAATCGCTGTCTTTGTGGTCTCGCCTACCATATGGGCTTTCGATCTTCTGTGCTGCAACATTACTCCCTTGCGGCCAGTTTAGGCATCTATAAGGCGATAGAAAAGACCGATAACTGCTTAATTCGACCCAAATCTGGCGCATTCAACAGCGGACAGAAGGAAAACTTGCTGTATTTCCGAAGTCAGGCTCTTCGAATACAGGAGGCTTATGCTTCAGTACCCAAGGTAATATGAAAGCTATTAAGCGTAAGTCTGTGCCCCTAGGATAACTCGACTGAGCCCATACCTGTACCTTACTGCTTCTGCACAATCTACCGCGAAGCTGTGAGTTGTGGGTATCACGTGATGACCCAGGGTTCTGGCGACTTGGTCACAGCCCTGTGCACCAATTTTTGGAATGGTCGTGAACTTCTATCTCTCATGGACTCTGAACGCAGCAAAATGCTCGATTTCTATAACCTGAATGTCTCTACAAGCTACTGTTTGGCTTTTGCCTACATGCCGCTCTTGCAGTCAACTCCCCTGGTGCAAGACAATCGGCCAGATGGTGATCGTGCTAATCGGGCGCCCTTCCCCGTCCTCAAATTGCCCGTGGTAGGTGATCACTATTCTCTCCACTGTTCCTATAGAACTTCGAGTTAAGAAGCCGACTGACCACACGACCCTCCTCAACATCCACAGTCCGCCCCACTGATGTGCTCTTTGATTCTCTTGAGTCTGTCCAACACTATCCGAAACGGCGGCTTACTAGAAACGCGTTTCCCCCCAACCCCTCAATCGCGGGTAGTTCGGGTGAGGGGCCTCGGAAGGTCAGTAATATCGATAAGAAGCAGAAACTGAGAACCAGACTCCCCCGAGTAGCTTTCAGCTGTGGGTCCTTGCCTCGCCTGGCCTGTCAAACCAACAGGTGCGCTAACACTTCCATGGTTAAACAGTATGCAGGGATGGTAGCCTCGGCATATTTCCTTAGCTTAAGTGTTATCCTCAATTTGGTAATTTAGCACACTCAGAACCACCACATCCCTTATTACTCCGGTAGCTGTCGTACCAAGCTCAAATGTCCTCTTCCTTGCGTGTAAGTGTATGTCCTTCAATCGAGTCAAGTGTTTATGCAAACATTGGTGCTGCTCATGTAAACATCATGGGTCCGTCTGAACACTTGTTACTGTGATTCACTCAGTGGGAATTATTTTGTTAAATGGTCACCTAATATACAATGTGTTTAGTGTGTGAATCAAGAGTTCATTCAGATCATGACAGGAGCAGAAGTGTCACAGATTCATTCGTTCTTTTGTTTCGGCCTAACAGAGGATCAGTGTTTTTGGCATGAATTGCTTTGAGCATTTATGTGCAATTTGCTCCGAAATAGTTTATCGGATGGGTGTGCTAAGGGCTTAGAATGTGCAGTATCTACTCCTAGCCGAACTTGAAGTTTCTATTAACTATTTATCTCTAGTCTTGCCTTCATCCCTATTTCCTCCACTGCCCTCGCTCACCTTCCATGCTCGGGAAATGCATGGTCCCCGTTATACGCTTAAATTGCTAAAAAATGTTACAATGGTTGGTATCTAGGGGAGGTTACTAGTCCCCTCTCCTGCATTTCGGCATTTCGTAATGACCTTTGGTCTATTCTTCATTCACCTCTGCCTCCCGCAATACAGTTCGACAAGCACAGCCTCCGAATTCCCCGCTGATTCAGCCGCTCTACAGGACGCTTTCAGTAAGCAAATCTTCCTCGGAATGGTAAGTCTGCAGTACCAGGCGATGCCGGGCATTGTCGAGACTATTCGCAAACTAAACCAGGCCTGCATCCGCTTCGTGCACTTCTCTCAGGTGTGTTCTCTTCAGTCCGTTCGAGGTTTATATTTCCTCCATCTCGTTTTATCTCTTTTATGCATAAATTGTTGCTCGTATCTTTCGCCACTACTTATTTCTGAGTGAATCATTTGACTATTACTTGTTACCTTCTCTCTTTAACTAAAGTTATTGTCCTTATTTTTTATCTGTGAGCTCTGAGCGAAGGGTTAGCCCATTACCTCGTGTGGCGCTCGTCCCGTTCTTGTGGAAAAAATTCAGCTGTTTAGGTTACTCAACTCCCTGTTAAAAATTATGTTTAACGAATTCACTACGGCTTTATTCACAGCGTTCACTTTACTCCAAAAGGTTCACAAGAATCTGACACTTCGTACTCAATTATATCATAACACGAAGCCTTATGAGGTTGTGTTCAGTGAGAGGAGTCAGAAGTTGAGTCGAGAGCTTTCTCTTCCACAGGACAACCAGCTGCGCAGTCGGGTGTTCGCGGAGCGATTGGGCCTGGAGGCGGACTGGAACTGCCACATATCGCTGGCGGATCCGCCACCGGAAGTCAGTCGGACAACTTCACAGGGCACCCGCACTGGACACCTTACCTCTGTCCCATCTCGCACCTCTTCTATTGGTACTGGTCTGTTGCGAAGGCCAAATGTCTCGCTCGGCCACGGTGGGTGTCCTCCTGCCTTCCCCGCACTTATTGCTAATGTCGACCATCAAGTGGTCTTTTGTGCTTAATTGCACTTGTTCTTTTTGTTTGAACTAAGGATGGTTTTTCCTCCTTTAAGAAACCTGTCCATTTAATTTGCAAATGACTCAGCTTGTCCATGCCTGATTGTGAATTTGGTTTTATGAGGTGTTCTCGGTTGTAAACAATGCATAATGCGTTATAGTCATTTCAGTAGAGGTAAAGCATGGTGCTGTGTTAGAAACTGCATGTTATACCGGAAGAACATGATCTCTAATTTGGCACGTGACTGCCAGCTTTGAATAGGTGAATGCCGTCCCGAATTTTTTCTGGGCTCTTACGTCATATATGCATGAGGAAAAGTTAGCCAGATTTGACAATAAAAAGGAGAATAAGCATAAGTGTTAACATGTTTGAACAATAAAAATTTGGGCTGAAGTTGTTAATTTTCAAGTTAAGTTCCAATTATGCTTACTTTATTTAGTCGGTAGTCTGCAGCGAAGCTACTTATATCATTCTACAACTTTTTTCCCCTACAAAATCTTTTCGGCTTCAAAAACGTAGCATTTGCGTCTTTGTATTAAGTAACTTTAGCAGAACTTTATGGTTATAAATTTAATTCATTATCAAGATACTATGCTTCTATGTATTGATAGTTCACCCCTATAACCCCTCACCGATTTCTGCTCCTTGGGTTTACTGCTAGATGGGGCATTTCCAATGACGTTTACAAAATCGTTCTTATCATTTCTTCCCCCTATTATGACTCCATTTTTACTTTCGGTTCATGTAATCACCTGTCAGGTCATTCCCAGGACAATTTCTGAGTTATCACTATGTGCACATGTGTAATCCCCACATAACTTCCTTGTTTTTTCACCTTAAAGACATCGCGCAATGCCTTAGCGCTTGAAGTCACTATTTTCTTGAAGAATTGGAGCCGGTTGTTTTGCATCTTTGTCTATTCGAAAGTAAACCCAAGGTTTGTCGTCAATTAGTGGCGTGTCGGAGGAGATAATTTGCACGACTTGTTCTTGAAGTTATGCTAAAAGTCCTCATTATTTCACTTTACCCCGCTCTAAGGTAGGAATTTATCGTTCTACTATCACTGAAACGCCAACAAAATTGAGCTCCTCAATTGCCCAGCCATGACCAAAGCCTATGGCTGCAGTGCTGCTCACTTGATATGGTTTCACTCATGTTTTTTGTTTATTGTTGCTATTGTTTTGCGTTAAATTTCATAATTGCCTTGTTTACTTACCAATTGCTCTTTGTTTAACGGAAATGCTTAATCATGCGTTCATGTGGCCATGCGAATGTCAAAAAAACGTGCTTTTATCAACACCTGTAAATACACCATAAAAGGTAAATGCGCCAACTAGTGTCTGTGCCTGAGCATGTTGATAAAGTGACCGAACCCTGACTTTTTTGTAATGTTTATCATGTTCTAAGCTTGAAAAACATCAGTTTGGTTCCATCATCCCTATCCTAACTCCAAGTTAGTTTAGATTTGCTCATTTTGAGGCCAAGATGAGAGTTACTAAATTGTCCTCTTTAAAGCCTGCCTGGATATGAATATAGACTTTCGCTGTAAATGTTGTTTCAGGATCTTTAATTCCGACAAAGTCATGTACAGCCAGATCAGGATATCTGCCCTTGCGTCCGTTAGCTGGAGAGCTGAGATCCAGGCGACAATCATCCCTACTTATTTTATTTATGCTGTAATTATTAGTAATATATAGTGTCTCTATGACCTGTTAGATAATAGGGAGAACTCGACAAGAGTGTAAATTGAGGAGTATCATAGAATCTTCGGTGAATCCACCTCCGCAACGTAAGAGCAAAATGTTCTCCTGGGACTTTAGTGATCCCCAGCACAAAACATTGATTTAACGTTACTTTTGGAGCAATATTTGTTGATTCGTGTCAACGTGTGTGGAAGTGAATGCGATGTGAGGATACTTTTTCACTTTTTTGTTTTTGTACTCTTTAGGCGGAGTCGCGGTTCTTAAGCAGCCCTATTCTCTCAGCTCGCCAAACGTGGCTCGTGTAGGTGTTCAAATTAAGGTAAGCCTTCACATTTTAATGAGCTTGTGGTTGGTAGTTCTCTTGCCTCACCACATTGAGTACTTCCCCTAAGGTAAAAAGTGCATTCCAATTCAAGATCTAGAATCATCGGGGTTTCGGTTGACGCCTCAATGGGGTGTGTAGTGAACTACGAGTTGTGATAGTTGGAACGCTCATTTGTTTCTTTTGAATAGAAGCGATCGGTGGTGGCAGAGCCCGTGGTGGCGGAGGCCGTGTCCAATTCCTCCATGCCTTTGGTGGGGGGTGAAGATGGTGACATGGCCACTAGCGGCCTCTGGATAGGTTTTGATATGGACACGGAGGTCTCAGATGATCGGGTTCAGTGGTCTCCTCCAAATGCCAGCACGAAGGCTTCTAACGCCTCGTTGAACATCGTTCCCGAAGAGGCGAGAAAGTCATTTGCCTTCGAAGACTCCGTTTTTTTAAGCTCCTCCTCCTCATCATCATCATCCGATGTCAAATCCGTCGACGCTGATTCGCAAGAGGGATTGAAAGACCATCCACAGCTCGAGGAAGATGCTTACAACTATGTCTTTGCTAACAAGGTGAGCCCTTGAATTCAGAAATAAAACGCATTAAATAGTAAAATTGACGTCCAGGGTGCAATAATTTGATCATCTGCATCAATTCAGTATTCAAAGTGATCCGCTTTTTCCCAACAGCAAGAAGTGCTACTTTACTTAGGGTTAGAGTGTCTGAAAACTAAGCCCTGCATATTTTTTTCCGTTTCTTTTTTTATCTTTTAGTCCAGGTTACCTTCCGGCATCAGAAATATTCGGTCTCACCTGGAGAATGTTGACAATGTGCCTCTCAAAGTTTCCCTCTTCACTGACTGCACACCATCAGGTAAGCACAATGGAATCTCAAGAATGCTTGGCTCTCTTTTTTGTGATTTCATTCCATTCCCTGGCGTTGGATTGATTATCATTACCCATAGGGAAGGTAAAAGTGGTTGAGGTTAACAAAGAGGTAGAGAAACGGTAAGTGGATTCCCTTTCTTCGATTATTAGGCAGAAAATTTGAAGACCAGAAAACGAACTTCTCTGCTCTAGTGTAACACCACAGCTTTATATTTAAGAGCAAAACATTTGTATTACCTGAACATTGAACACCGTCAGCATTAATGCGAACCTTTGACGTAATTTGAATACGTAGTAGAGGCGTTATTCAAAACCTTATTTGTTGAACCCAGGGAGGAACTACTGGCGTCTTAATTGAGTTTTGGAAATTTCTGAAGGTGTGCATCGTAGAGTGGGAGGCTCTGATGATGTGAAGAGGGCATACATTGCTGAATAACTATTAACTGAGAATTTGTTTCCAAAGCAACCAAATAGATATTATGGCGACTTAGATCTCCTTAATTTACAAAAATACATTGATATATTATTTTGCATGGTTTTTGAACAAAATCATAGGGTTGATAACGTGTTTTTTTCGTTGCAGCCGTTGGTGAGATGATTGGAATAATGCAGGAGTATGGCGAGACGGTGTGTGTGGTGGGGAGTTGTCTGTCAATGACGAATGCGGAGCTCTTCTGTCGCGGTGACACCGCGATCGCCCTCTTCCCCCTCCTGCCACGTGTCTGTGGCCACGAGCCCATAGCACCAGTCGTAGGGGCGAAAGAGTTGAATACAGGCGACATGACGGACTGCGCCAGTTTGCCCCTCCTCAATCTCGCGGGGCGCCTCGTTGCTCTTGGTGCCGCCCTCATCTCTCGTGCCTCTCTTGCCGACTTTGATATTCTTCAGCTCGTCTCGCAGGTTTCTCTTGCAGTTCACTGTTAGGCTATTTTACAACCTCCGCATCTGTTTATTACTGTTTGTCTAGATCATTCCACCTTGCTCATAGATGTATATTCCATTGTGTATTTTAAAACCACTACCACTTGGATACCAAGGCTCCCTACAACTACAGGAAAGTTGATTACTCAATTTTGAAAATGCTGAACTAATCTCTTAATGTCTACCCTATTTCATTTGAAGTTGAATGCTAAAGAGGGTTAATATCGAAACTGCTGAGTCATTGGACGAACTAACTTTACCACCATCCAATTCCAGGTGCTTGAAGTCAAGCATCTACCTCTTTGTCCTGTTGGAAGGCAAATATTAGACAAATTACTTCTCCTCTGGAGCAGATAACTCCTGCTCCCCCTTTTTTGCACGTGTTTCTCCGAGTAGAATTGTTATTCTGGTTAGATAGATTTACAAGCTCACTACAAAGTGTGGAATGCCCTCCTTGCCGATTCGAAGGGTATTACCGTTGTGGTTCCCCTTGTAGGCTCATGCCTCAGTCAACAACATCCACCTCTGTATAACCTTTGCCATTGCCTCCTCCTTCGCCGCCGCACTTTTCTACCTCCTTTCACTCGCCTTTCTGCCAGCCTTTCCAGTACAATTTGGTCCGATGGGCTCCACCCAACCGCCTGACACTTTAGTGTGGCTTCCACCCGTCCTATTGGGCGCCACTGGACCAATGGAAGCAGCTGGTGGTGCGGTTGTGGGCCATATCGCCATTGGTGGACAGGTGCTGTGGCTTACTGTGGCCGTTATTCCATGCCTCGCCACTAGCATTTTCGGCAGAACCGTGGAAAGAAACCACCCCCTTCAGCAACCACCCGTGAAACGCAATGAAATGTTTAGTCGTGAAGTACGGGGATTGATTTCGTTATAAATGGGTGCACAGTTGAATTAATCGCAATCGTTATTTGTTATAAAGCTAATTATTCATGCCCCAAAACCATCCAAATAGGTTTAACTTCTTTATTTAGTTCTAATTTATCTTTCAGAATCTGTTATAAAAGCCAGCATTCTAAAACTGATCTTTGAAGTATCTCTGCTTCTTTTTCGCTTCCCATTTTAATGGCAGAAGTGGCATTTGATTTGACATTGATTGAGTGAGGATTTTGTGGCTTATGCAAAGTCAATCTGGATTGCAGTGTTAAACTTTGAGTCAACCGACCCTCTCGGCATGCAGTGCTTCCACGCAGACTTGTTATTCCATCATCCCCCATTCTGCACTTTTTGAACTTGTACAAATTTAAAAATACAAATTTCCCAATTTTTACTAATATGAAATGATATATAGGTGTTTTCATAGCCATTTTTCAAGATTTGATGATCACATTTTACTTTTGTACTTTCTTTGACGTCCAATTAAGGCACTAAAATCGACTTAGGCCTGATTTATTTTTCATGGTACAGGGATTATTCTGTCATTCGGATATGGACCTTAAAGTCACCGACTCGCTGTGTGATGAAGTAACATTGTTTGTTGGATCGGTTTGCTGTGCTGCTGGAAGATCCATGCCTCGTTTTATTAATGAGTTATATGAAAGGTATGGAAAGTAAATATGACACGCACAGACCTTTTAAATAATTCGAACTTATATGGGAATCACATCTCAACCACGCCATTTAATCATATTTTCGTAAGAGTAGAAGCAGTAGCATTAACATGGAGGGAGAATTGTCTGATTACGAAAGAACCTTAGCCTCTTCCTTCCATTTCAGCGAATACTTCGACTACTGTGGGTGACTGCAGCGCGCTTTCTTCCCTCCGTGGTGATATGCTGGGCCGTGAGTCTTATCCAAACCTTCATCACCTGCCCCACATACATTGACCACCGTCTCGTCTGCCTACCGCACTCCCTTCTCAACCCAGTCTACGCGAAGTAAGTTCTTGATCCGAACTCCTTGAATACATCTTTCATCCCTCTCATGCCTTTTCTGATCTTCCACATTAATCCCACTCAAAAGCGACATTAGGGTAACAAGGTTGGGAATTTGTGATAGCTTGAAGAGTGCTATTTTTTGCATTTTTAGGTAGATTTGATGTTAAATGATCTTTCTTAATACCTAATAGACTTACCCAAACTTGTTTATTATCACTTTAGCATTCAGCCACTTTTTATTGTGGAATTTAAATAATGTATTGGAAAGCCAGTGGCTCTTTGTGAAATGTGGCTCTAGAAGGTTGAAACTCACCCTGCTTCTTTTGTATTGCTCTTTCTAATAAATCATCAAATGCACAATGGACCTGTTTCCTCATATTTTGCTTCACGAGCTTTTGCATACTCTTCTACAATATCGTTGAATGTTGTTTCACGCAAAATTTTCCCAAGCTCACGTCGACGACCTAATCGAAAATTCGCAAACCAACTCTACCGCGATTGTTGTTGAAACTGGAACTGATGTCAATGTAGGTCGTAGGGGGAAATTAGAAGAGGGGATTTTTAACACAATATCAAATAATTTAATCCTTCCCCATTTTTATTATCTTAGTGTATCTTTAGCCAAGCTTCCTGAATACGCGACAGTTCTACTGAATGTGACTATTTCACAGGAAATACCCTTTTTCCTTCTCGTCACCTACCTAGGTGAGTTTACGCTTGTCGCCTAGCCCTTCCAAATTCGCCTGCATTACATTCCTTTCTACTGTGTTTTTAGTGCTCATATCATTCAGTTACGCAAACTCGGGTCAATGGATTCACCACTGGCGGATTAGTACAAACCTGCCATGGCTTATTTTGTCCGTAATCATGTGGGTCAGGTTCTACTCTTGCATATTTTGTGAAGGCTTTGTGATCGTCACAGTCAAATGTCACCCACCGTTGAACAAAAATTGTTTGACCCAACTCAGTTAATACCTTCCAATTTCGATTTACACTGCCGTAATTTTTTTTGCATTTGGATATCATCAAACCGTGCATTGGGCATGATCACCTGCCTATGCTGCACTTGTGAAACAATTGTTTCTGATATAGTTTGGTAATCGTTTAATTCTGCATGGATTAATTATTTATTAGTTGTTTTGACCATTTGAAAATTAGCTTACTGATAGGGTTTGAAGTTGGAAGGTGTGAGGTCAGTGAGATTTCTCAACTGGTGCAGTTTATAGACCGCTTTCAAAACCTGAACGTAGACGAGGTCTGTCGTGACGTTCAACCCCATTTTTGGACGTGAACTCGGCTAAAATTCCGAACCAGGTGTCTGGATTGAATATCTGCGCTTTTTAAAGTGACTTGCTGAGCCATTTTGTGGACGTCGTAGCAGAGCGTTCCTCAGAACGCTGCAACCCCAAGGGAAGCGTAATCGGTTCTGCCCACAATTGTGCAATCATTTTCAGGCGCCAACTAGTCTACGAAATTGTCCGGCCTGGTAATTAATGTTGGCTTCGTAGACTCATAGAAGCTCGCAACAGAAGTAGCATGATGCAAACGCGTTGAAATGTAGTTCAGTAGTCAATAGAGCACCTTTCTGTTAGGTAATTACTAGGTGCTTCCTTGCCTGATTTTTGTTTCCAGATTCCCTGTATACGACCAACCATCCGTGATAAGTTTTTGCACTCAGTAACCTAATAACTACATTCACTCCTTAACCCACCAACCGCACGTAGTGGGAGCGACATAACAGTTTCATCACCACTCCTTTCTAGATTACTAGCTCACACAATTTACCTTGCCATCATTCTTCTCTGCAATGACAAAGTCCTAACTGGTGAGCAACATCGCTATTTGCTGGTCACACTGGCCTGTGGCCTTCTCTGGTGCCCGATTCTGCTTCTCGTGAACGAAATCATTAACTGGAAGGAACGCGCGTACGTCCCACGCTACTACCACATTATAAGTAGACAAGTCGTTCATAGACGCTTACCACATGGAGGCAGTTACGTTACCCCACGCCAACACGCAGTCAGAAAGCCTCCCTTGTCTTTCAGGATCACCAACGCGGAGGACCGATTCGCTAAACTATTTTTCGACACCAAACTGGGAATGTACTCCCCTGTCTAGCTAGGACGCCCAAAACCCCGAATCCCACCTTGATGCGAATGTCTCGCAGATAATCCAGCCGTGATCTCACAGTTACTGTGACAGCTTCTTATGGCATTAATAAAGTACGTCAAAGTCAAACCTGTTCCTATGACACAAAAGGGGACACCGGAGCACCAGTCTTGATTAGCAGTGAAGCACACTTGTTCCGAGGCAATTCATCAGACACGAATGCCCTGCCCTCTGCATCTGCCTCCTATCCACCACGGGACCCAAAGGACCCGCCGCGTCCCCAGAGGGGACCTGAGACGCTAATAAGTCATCAGTGCATTAAGAGACAACCCGGTCTAGGCCGACGTATCAACGGGAAACCCCTACCAAACAGTAAAATCTGACCCCGATAATCTGCCACAGCATCAAATTGCTAGACTTTGCGGTGAATATTCGATGACCATTGGGCCGCAAATCAGACAAGAGCGGCTTCGGAGACATCAAACAATATCACTGGCTGTTGCACGTCACGGTAGACCTGTACAGGACGCGTTGAGTGCCAGTAAACCCTGAGACCTTGAAAACTAAAGCTGTTAAACCCATAAAAAGGGGCACTAGATCCGTAGACGTATATTTCCAAGAGATTTACGCTGCAACCTTCGGACGTTCCAAATCCTTCTTCAAAGGACCCTGATGAAGGAAAAGAATTCCAATTAGTGGCAACTCAGTGAGTAAGACATACCAGAAAAGCCTTCTTCTCTGCACGAGTCTGGAACCGACCGTGACCGAATTTGGAGGAGGTGTCGATGAACTTGAGGACTACCTTCTCCTGAGCACGACGACTAGTCTGTTGGAGAAGACTCTTACGTAGGGTGATGACACGCTTGCGAGGGCCCATACAACAGCCTTTGATCATAACGTAATCATTGTTAACTTCACCGTAGTGCGGGAAGCCACCCATCGGAGTGATATTTTTAGCTGTTAGATCATATTCCGTGGAAGCATTGCCCTTGGGCTTAATGAGAGCAGCCAGCTCCTTATTCTCCTCTTTCGCGGCCTCCACCTTAGCAGCCTCAATTTGAGCCTGAACACCTAGTAAGTAGCTTGAATAGGTTAAGTAAATTTACCAAGACCGATGCGGTAGATCTTCTTGTTCATTTCGGTGCGGTGGAAGTAACCTTTCTGGCCAGCACGAGCCACGGTGCGGCCTACACGGGCTGGATGCCAAGCTCCGATACATGCAACTTTGCGAAGACCCTTATGAGTCTTGCGAGGCAGTTTCTTCGTGTGCCAACGAGATGTGACACCCTTGAAGCCTTTACCCTTAGTTACACCGATGACGTCGATCATCTCATCCTGAGCAAAAACATTTGCAACAGGAACTTGTTTTTCGAGGTGTTCGCGGGCCCAGTCAACCTTCTGAGAAACGGTACCGCCATTGACCTGGATTTCCATGATGTGGGCCTTCTTCTGGCGGTGCTTCATCAACCTCATCTAGAATAATCCTATGCAAGTAACCCAATGGCAAACCTGAGTGTGCGCAATAACACGGATGACGGAGCAGTACTTCTTCATTTTCTTAATATCGCTGTTAATTGCCGCAAGACCAGCCTCGTCGGCCCACTTCTTGGAAGCCTTGGTAAAAGCCTTCCGCTTGGACTTGCAGAAGTCCTTATAGAAACGGCGACGACATTCCTCGCTCAAATGCTCAGCCCAAATGGTCTTAAAAGTGCGAAGACCCCTAGCAGTGTGAGCGTAACCGACAATTCCGACGATGACCATTGGCGGGCACTCGAGAATAGTGACGGGCTCAACAACTTCCTTCTTGTGAACTTTTGAACCAGGACGATCGACATCACGGACGACATGAGTCATGCCAGCCTTGAATCCCATGAAGGCAGTCAAATGTGGTGGCAGCGATCGCCGGTCTTTAGGGAAAGCCTTGCATTTACCACGAATGCGACGACTGCGTTTCTTTGGTGTAAAACCTAGAGAACCATGCCGGGGGGCCGAAAACTTCCTGTGGGACTAAACGAAAACTGGATGAGAGTTAAGTCCAAAAACGTGAATCCAGTACATAGCAAACCAAAACGCACCATAATCGTAAGCTTCAATCACGCTACGAAAGCGAACAAGTGGGAATAAACAAACTGGTCAAAAAACCTGTCTCTAAAAGAACGAAATAAGCACAAAACGCTCATAAACTACAAGAGGTGATGAAAAATTTTGGCACCGAAATTTACTGGCAAGGCAAAGAAACAATTTTCAAATATTGTAAACGAGAGGAATACTAGGTCTGCGGTTATAATGAGAACAGATTCCTGCAATTTTTGGACGAAAAAAATAATTAGCAGATTTTAGTATTAGCTTTACCGGTGAAACCCTTCATTTTGTAATTTCTTTTTAATCCGGTGATGGCGTTACTCCATTTTACGCAATTCATAGAGTAGTAATGTTCCCGTCCCTTATCATAGTGGAGATGCTAGAATTAGACCCGTGTTTTCCGAGCATTAGAAGCTATGTATATATATGGTTCATAGAATAAAATCTAACAAGTTAGCACAAGACCCTTATTTCGTATAGCTCAATGTAGCATGACCCTCGTTCGACTCCTCTCCCCTGGTCGCCATATTTTTAGAACCTTTATATCTTCAGAACCACGAGACAGATTTGATAAGGACATATTTATCGCCTGGCGTCAATGGAAGATAGGTACAAGGTTAGGGAGACTTGGACACGGAACCCTTCTCTGATTCCGGAGATGGCGACCGCTACTTACTCACTAGGTTCGATCCGACTGCCTGCTTCCTCCCTAAAGGGTACACTTAAACAACATAAGGATTATACCTAGCTTTTATAAGCTTGCAAATTAGGCATAACTTCTTACTCATTTGGGGATTTAGGGATGGGCACAGCTTTTCATTTATGTGGTGATTAGATATTTGATACGTGCCTGAAGGTAGCACTTTAGCTCTTCTCTACGCCGCTGATGTATGTTCCTGCTTACTAATTAAACTTATTACAACTTTAGCTAACACCTGGAACACTGCATCTGAACAGCACCCTAAAGTTGTTCCTTTAATTAAACTGAAAATTCCAGGGATTTACAGTTCCCGGGTCTCCGTTTCTTGAACTCAAGCACACGACAAAATGTAGAAACATGGCGCAACTTTAGTCAACCATTAGTTCGTCTAATCACATTTGGCTCGATTTACTCAAACTTATGTTTTCCGTAAATTACACCTGAACAACACGCCGTGGTCGTTTCTTCCCACATCCATCTCCGTGTACGATCGCAAATGACCACACCTTTGTGGTCGTCCGTACCGGTTAACAGCCACATTAAGAAATTGCTTTGCGATCATTCCGCGTGTATTGTGCGATGGTGAAGTGCCAAGCTAACCGTCACGAAAAGCCGCTAATTGCCCTTCGAGACAGCAGAGATGGATGAAACCTAATCAACTTTTCCGAATGAGTCGAGTAACTCATGCATGAAAGCCACCATCAAGGTACGATCTAGAATATGATTAGATGGGCTATTAAACCGCAGTAATTTGTCACAAATCGGGCTCTGGCTGATGCAAGTCCTCAAATTCCAACGTTTGAACTCAGGGATGCACAAAAATCCCCAATGAGTGGGCAACCACCTTGAGCTGCCCTATTTAAGATCCTTTTACCCAGCCTCTGGAGAAGGGGCTGAGGGGGACCTCTGCAATAGAAAAGTGAAAGAGATAGCAATCGCTCCTATTACTTCAATGCAGACCTGTAAGCAAGGCATTGAAAGAGAGAGGGTTCTCAGAGGGGGGGGGGGAGGGAGCAGAGGGGTGTCAAGGTTGGCAAAGCCGGTAACTACACCGCCCTCATTGATGCCCAGAAGTTTGGTTCGAAGCAGGTGACCAGCCTCATGATTCTCCAATTCGTCTGTACCTCGGCTTCAAACAAACAGAAAGAAAGGGAAAGTGGAAAGACCTCAGGCAAAATACATCACAACCCATTAATGCCTGAGTGACATTACTTGGGGAGTGAAGAGTGTCATTCGTTTTCTAAGCCTCTGTTTCAAGCAACCTTAGATCACGACGGTGTAGTGGTGTGATAGATAATTTTTCAGATGAATTGTGGGTGTTTTTATAAGACATGGTTCACTTCCCAGAAGCTCATTTTTGTTCAGTATTCCCTAGAATTTGTATTACAAATCTACAGGACCTACTTAGGAGGTAGTAATAAGAGACTCACCTCAACAAAACACCGTAGATGCCCAGCTCCGAGATCATTTGACGGCGCAGAGGCGAGGGATACTCAATGCCGACTACGCAGTTCTCCACTATCGGTGGTTCGAGTTTCTCCATCAGGATGTAGGCATTGGCCTCCAATTTGCCCATCACTTTGTCCAACTTCCGCACTATGTCAGCTGCAAGGCGAATGCCACCACTCTTGAAGTCAAGTCTAGTCATCATGGTCCATCTTACTACAAGTACGGCGCCGATCACACCGACTGCACATTTGACGTCCGCAGAATTATCATGCAAGCCTAAGGCGCCACCATTCCAATCACATTCAACCCGAAGATTTATTGTGTTTACAACGAAAAGTGAATGGCGGATACCTAGAGAGCGTTGAAGACAATAGTTTAGTCTAACAATAACATAGATTCAACAAAAGACAATCCTTATGAAAGGTTGTGTGATCCTGGTTTGTGCTGCCCAAACGTTTAACCTCAGATCTATTTTAAAGTTTTTGGAAATAACTCGTTTAAACGATGACAGTGCTGTGGATTAAATTCGATCCTTAAAACTAATATATGGTCATATGGATGGTAAGGGGGACTATGTTTCAAAATCTCGGACTTCACTACACTGGGAGAGACTAAATGGTAACTTCCCGAAGAGATGGCTGAACAGTATCTAAAGAGCCAACGCGTGAAAAAGAAGAAATGTCAATGGGTTAAAGGTACCGCAAAATTTCGCTTCTTGAGTAAACTTTCTTGGGAAATTTTGTTGGCGTAGTCTAGCCATCAGGATTACTTCCCAAATGGCGCCCTAGTAATAGGCGAAAATGGGTCACGGTGTGCTAGTATTGAATTTGAAAACATTCTCGTCACAAGAAAACCACACAGCTCTCCAATTCATCAAGAGAGAACCTACTTATAGACTCACTCATTTCGCACAATAGTGCCATAGAGCGAATAACCGACTCACCTCCGAAGATGTTATTCCCACCACCCTCACGCTGAGGCTTGAGAACGAATTTGTCGGGCCGACGACGGCACTCCTCAACCATCTGATCAATGATGGCGGGGTCGGCGAAGTGGAAGTCGGTAGAAAGGACGGTCTGACGCGCAAAAGTGGCCGCAAGCCGCTCCGCCGTTTGGGGACTGACCCCAAAGCGTGACAACACCGTGGGGCCAGCGGCGAGAGCGGTCTGGACGAGCTTCATGTTCGCCAACAGGTAATCAATCGAGGGACACTTGATCGCGAGACTTCGCTCCAGTCGCAGCTTTGTCCGCCAAGCCTGTACACAATTTTGAGGTAAGGATTAGCAGAACTTGTAGATACAACGTATCTACTGCAATCATATGATAGCACATTCAAAGTCGGATCATTTCTTAACCGATGAACTTGAAAGTTTGGCGGATCACCTCGTCTACTGTGAGTGAATACGTGAGCACTTGGCTATAGTGACCATAACAGGCAATGGAAGCGCTTCGCAGTAAAATCCAATGACCCGTTGACACGCCTTGACAACATTATGAGAACTTGTGCTTAAGAAGAAAATCAATCGAGACGAAATGAGGAAGGAAAAAGTAGTTCGTCCAAATATGCGCAGAAATTTGGCCAGCGAATAAAACTCGAAGTAAAACTAGTGGTAGACTCAATTAAGTTCAATGCGCATAAGAGCAAACCCTTGAACTGTGCCTCATTTTGGTTATCTTCAACACAAAAATGATGACTCACGTGTAAATGTATGTGACATCAATCTAGTCTTTTGATCTCATCCTTTAATGAACAGTCGAACTTAACGCAACCTACATTTTACTTCTGGCATCCAGTTACTGCCTAGTTTCATGTAAGCTAAGGCATGTGGCTGTTTTGTGCTGTTCGAAGGAGTGTAAGAAATGGGGTGCCAATTTCTCGCTAGTTAAAGGTGGCTTTTCATAAAGAGTGCTCTAGAAATGTTGAGGGAAGTGTAAGCTTTGTGAGAAAACAAAGTTTGCAGGCGTAATCAAACTCAGATAAAAATAAAGCAGCATAGGCATGAAAAATGAATGTTCTGTGGCAACTTTAAGAGACTGCAACTGGAAAGAATATGAGGGAAAAGTACGCACAATATAAGCCCCAGATCCTGTTTCCTAAACAAATGTCTGGATCAGATAAGACGATGCAAAATCAAGGGACTTGACGGCGGATTATGAAATCATGAAACCTTTACCTCTTCATCAAAGTGGCTCGGTGCGTAACCAGTGCGGTAGTAGATGAGAGCAATTTCATAGCCATCCCTGAGAACAGTAAAACTCATTCAGATGAGAACTTAGTTACATAAGGGAGGGAAGAGTGCCACAACGCACACAAAGAGGCGTTCAGTAGCTTCCTCGACATTCACACGTCCTGTGGGCTCCGCGAGCTCGGCAAAGGTGCGTCGGAGGAGACGAAGGGAGGCATTGGCGTAGAGCACAGCCTCCTCGATACTGCGCTGATCGTAGATGTTAGTTTCATCCTCCGACACCACTACGAGGATAGCCGGGAGGCTGGTGCGTTGGAGGTGTGCACTACTCTTCACGTACTCCTCTACTGCACGAGCGATTGCACTACCGAATTTTGTGGCCGAGGGACAGGCGGGCAGCTGCAAGAAATGGAACCTTCAGTTCCAGAGGACCCTTTCCAGAAATTCGCCTTTAACACTTTTGGGCTAAATGACATTTAATCTTTGCCATAAAATGTACCAGTAGGAATTAAAATATGGATAAGACTGTCGTAAATATAACGGAAGTTCCTCAGCACCACATTAGGCAAATAAGCAAAAATAGCCTTAAAGGATCCACTTGCATTATCGAACTCTTGAATGAACAATTAAAACGTAGCGATTGAGCAAACAGGCTGCTGAAAGTTCTACAAAAGAACAGTTATTATCACAAGTTTAACAAAAAGGCTACAGGGCGTGCTTCAGTTAAACTGAAATAAATTTTGCTAAAGGGTCCACTCAGAAGAGACCTCACAAAATCTATTCATATGGTTGTTCAACATACACTCAGTATAAAGTCCGAACCTAAACATGGAAATAGAGAATCTGTAAAATTTTACAAAACATTGAAGAAAATGCAGTCAAAAAGGTGTGATTAAAAATGTAAACCTTTGGTGCGTTGGCGCCTAGCAGTTGATTCAGTCGCATTTGATGTACTTTGACCAGCCGTTCTGCTACACCGCCGAAGCTGACAGCAATGAAGTTCATTTCAACCTGTTTCAGGGGACAGCCGGGAAAAGCGGAGTGCAGCATGTAGTCAGATCGATTCAGGGACAGTTTGAGCGGTTGCACTGGGCCCAGTTCGTGATCAAGTTGGTAGATTCTCCATAAATTATTAACGTATTCGTCTTGAGAAAGGACTCTGGTTAACAAAATCAGGAGTTTGTTTAAACCTTGCCTTAGACAAGCAATACTAGACATGATGATTGGAAAGTGTTTACTAGAAATAACACCTAATAAGCGATACACGATAGCGATTGACAAGTTATATGTTCCATGCATTGATAGTCAAAGCAATCTTACGGTTTAAAAGTTGATTCCAAAAATTCGTAGTCTGAGGCCACACTAAGAAATAAGCTATTAAAAAAGCGTTGAATATCAACGGCTTCTTTGAACTGAACTTGCGGGTAGGGCGAAGGTAGAAAAGTGTGCTGGAGAGTCATAATAGCCCCATCATGATTCTGCTTCAAAACTCCTGTGAAAAATTTAGCAGATGTGATGCAATGTTACCATTAAGTGCAGCAAAGTCGCTAAAGTTCAAAAGCCAATCCTTCAATTCCTGCTCAGAAAATTTTGAGAGAAGGGATTCAATATCACTCATTCTCCTGCAAAGTAAGGAACATTAGATCAGTCACCAAAAATAGGGCAAAATTGCGTGAGGAGTGTGCACATCTTTCCAAAGAATGTTGAGCGGGGGCGGAAGATTCAAATACGGATTCAGTTCTTCGTTTTTAACATGACAGTTGTATTCAGGACCCGTGAAATAAACAGGGTGAAATCCTCTGTTAGGACAACATATTTGACACAAAAAGGCAAGAAATGAAATAACGATGCAGACTAAAAGTCATAATTAAGTATGCCATATTCCTCAACGCTGTACATACGGCTGTTAAATTTCCCACATTTTCACATCATTAACGAACTTCAAAGGTAGGACAAAACTTGACATTCTAACAGTTCCTGCGGAAAGTTAAGCAAATATATAAAGAAAATCTACACAGCAGAAGACATCAACGCATATCAACCTCCGCGCTTTGTCCTTTAATCCTGGCATTGAAACTTTTAAACAGCCGTAGATTTGGTAATTTTGGAAGTCTATTGTAGTGCATTCTACGTGTGCATATTTAATAAGATAAGTGATTACATTCGTACGCCTGAACTTACATTATGTAGTACCATTTTGTGGTACCATTAGTACCGAGACAGGATCAGGTAAAAGAGCATTCTATAAATAATTCATTTGGCTGCTTAAAAATATAATGGTCATTTAGTAACCATCAGACTTTTCTAGTGGGCATTTAATAATGCTACTCCACTTATGCGGCACTTATTGTATTAGCATACTCAAAAATGGATTTTTCGGCAGCTTATGTGATAAATATGAAGCGAGGAATTAACGTTCATATTGAATGAGTGGATGAATGGATGGATACAGGATGGATAGATGAATGGGCTCGGGGTAGTTGCAAAAGAAAAGGGCTACTCAAACTGTCAGGAATTGAACCATTACTGTTGCTTAACACAATTCGAACAGTTATATAAGTCGCTCTACTAGGTCGTTTTCAAATTTCCAAACTGAAGAGAATTGGACACAGAACCAGCGGTCACTCACACGCATATTCGCTCAGTAGAAGCGCCCCACAACCACAAACCCACACGTTAGATGACTCATTGCCCAGCCGGAACTTAGAGTGACCCGTGTAGAATGATGCAACAGTCCGGAATAAATTTATCAAAGGTCCCAAAAGCCCCCCTACCCTTCCCTCAGCCCCTACCACCATAGAGTCCCCCTGGAATTCGGCATGTATTCGAGTCATCACGACAACTGCCAAAGCACAGTAACTGCCAAATCAGTTATAACAAGAGCTCCAATATCGACATGCACTCACAAGGGAATTTATTTTTTTCTTCATTTAATGTACGCATACACTGGTGGTGACAATGGTACAAACACAGGTTGGACCGTCATATCAACAAAGATGAAGAGCAAAGGACTTAAAATGGAAAGTGAAATAAAAGAGAAAAATAACTGACGGAGCACAGCGAATACGAATCACACACGCACACCGCTAGTGGCGAGGGAAAGCCAATACCGATGGTATCACCAGCTTGCAGTCGAACGAAAAAAGAACCGAACACAGACAATAAATGTCGACCAGGCGTGATTCAACGCATGGAGATATTCCGGAGAAAGAGCGCCAATGTGTGGAAAAGGAGAGTAAGAAGAGTCAATCGATCAGTCAGTGGTGAACTAATTAGGAAAATATTTATTTACAATTAGCGCACACACACACCCAGACAGGGGCGGGGAGAGATTGTGGAAGCGAAACGATGGCGCGCTTCAGAAGTCGTCTTCATCCCCCACCTCGTCTTCAGGCTCCTCCTCATCCTCCTGCTTCAATTGATTCGTGGCCTTGTCGGAGGTGAGGTCGGTAAACTTGTAATCCTCAGTGGCCATCTGAATTGCCCACATAAACTTCTCTCGTTGCGTCCTATTGTAGACCTTCTCAATGGGAATGTTGTACCGTTTGCACCTGTCATCGCACAAATGCGCATTGTTATAAAAGCAAAAGAAGTGGAACGAGAAAGTGCACTCATATTGAAAGGCTACTAATGTCCGGCCATAACATTTATAGCACCAGCCAAAAGGTCAGTATAGGTTTCAAACGGTCAATTTGAATGCCTGTGTATCCATCCTCCTTCGATAGGAAAAACATCTGTTTTATTTATATGGAAGCCGATATCAGTTAAGAGAGAAGTGATCACAGTGCTCTAGAAGCTCAAAAGGACCTTAGAAGGAAAGAAACTGGTAGTGTGAAGATAGCTCGTACACAAGCACACACAGCGAGCGGCGCACAGCACAGGAATAAACACGCCAAAGTGGTGACCTTCACAAAGCCGTGTGAAGTGTAAGCAGAGCCTATCACAAATGAAACAGTCAATGTTAAAGAAGGCAATCAAAAGTGAGGTACGTAACCAGCCTCTTACCAGGCAACCGTGATCCGAGGATCCAGGTAGTTAAGCTTGCTCGTACTCAAGGCAATGGTCTTGTTCTCGTCCCTGTCCGTGGCTTGAACCTGAAGTTTCAACAATTGTTCTTTCAGGGTGCCAAGACGCTTTTTCAACTTCTCGTACTGAGTCCGCTTTGCTGCGGTCTTGGAGTGTGTGTAGTCCGCTTTAATCTGCCTGGCTTCTCGCATAACATCGGCTATCTGTTCCTTCTTTGCATCAATCTGGCAGGCGAAAAACAAAAAACATTAAAAAATGATGCACGAAACGGAAAAAAACCCTGACCACTAGTGCAGACTACAATTGAGAAGGCAATAGGGAATATCACTACCACACCTGTAAATAATCAAAATATAAGAAGATTGAAAAACCTGGAGATAACAAGGTTACCTTTTTCTGCAAATTCTCCATGGAGGTGGAGAAAGACTTAGGCACAGCACGCTGATGATTGCAAAGAACGGCGACAGCTCGATTGGCACGATTGTAAGCGAGAACTTTCTCAGCCGGTATGTCATCCGGATTGGTGAGGTGTTCGAGCTGCTCCTCAAGAGTTCGACTAGCGTTGTAAGTACGAAAAACCTTGGCAGTGAGACCCTCCATCAACTCCCGGAGGTACTGATTTAGTGTAGTTGTGTTGAGACGATCAAAAAGGTCATCGCTGCCTTGCTTGTTTTTGACGAAGATCTTTAGATTCTTGAAAACACGCTTCGGCACGGAGACAGAATTTTGGTAGCGAATCGAGTCCTTGCCGAGGAAGTCAAACTCGACCACGTATGGCTTGCCATCAAACTCTTCATGAAGTTTAATGTGTTCACATCGCAAGGAACAGCAACCCACCGTATCTGCCTCATCTTCATCTTTTTCATTGCCAGCACGCAAGGCCAACTTAAAAAAAGGTGAACCAATGACAACTCGTTGGAGTCAATTGACAGATTTAATTTTACAGATAGAAGATAGGCAAGTTTAACTCACTTACATAATAATATTTAGGATTAGCAATAAGCTTCAGTAACGATGCGGAGGGCAATTACAGCGGTTTCGGGAATGTTTAGTAGAGTAAACCTTCTGATGAAAATGCTACTTTTTCCGTCGAAATGTGTTACCCAACCACGATCTTTAACTTGTTAATTGAAAATAATCTTGACTGAATCCTGCATTCGATCGAGATTCAGACTGCAATTACATACATTTCGAACCTCATATGAATAAGCCTGATTACCACAAGATGAACTGTAAATACTCTTTTTGGTAAAGCATAAGAATAAACCCCAAATGTATTTGATGAGTAATACCTTTGACATGTAGCCTTGACGCGAGTTCTCAACCGTCATTAGCAGTTGTGAACCTAGGTATGAGAATTTGCAGTGATCTCCCGTTAGTGTCAGGAAACAAATCACACAAATAATGACCCAAACGTTCGAATAAATTGTGTGACCGAAATTTTTGACGCCATTGGGGCATCACTGTGAAATATTGTTATTACAACTTCAAATTGCTAAAACTAACATAGTGAAATGGGTGGAATGCGTGGTGCAGTAGAAAAGAAAAATTAGTTCAAAATGGCGCTGCGCCCGCATACGCCGAAAAACCGACACCAACACGAGCCTAATAAAATGGAACCCGCCTAGCATTGCTAATTTCAAACGATAGTCTGTGCAAATGGATGGATAAAAACGCACCTTGTCAATGAAGTAAAGCGCCACAGCACGTTGACGAATACGCATTTCTTTGGACTTAAAATCTGTACGGTAGTCTGCACGAATTTTGTCTACGCAGCTGTGAAGCCTTCTGGCAACCTCGTACTTTTTCCAGTCCTTTTCACCCTACAAGCACGACATTAGTGATGAGATCACTGCTCACCTTCAGACGAGAAGAAGCGTTGAGCATCACGTATTTGAAGTTATTTTGCACATTTTCAACCCAACATGCCAGCCAAGTAACGGTGTTATCATGGCGCACCTCTTTCCAACGGTGGCCTGGAGGAGGAGAAGGGACTTTGGCATCCTTTGAACAGTTAATGATAACGTCCTCAGGCAGTATACGCTTCTTCAGCATACCAGTTTTCGGGTGATTGCCACGACCGCGAAACAAGCCCGGTGGTTCAATACGGAAATTAGCGATTCTCTGTTTGTGACCATCGAGTACACAAAATCCATACTGCTCCACTGTACGCTGATTTTCCTCCTTAATCTTCTGTTTTTCTTCCTTGGGCATATTCTTCCTCTCCTCGGCTTTCTTCTTGTAATATTCCGCCATATAAGTGAAATCACATTTCGACAGTTTCCTGATGACTTGTTTTTCCTCAAGAGTCATCACCTAGAGGATTACCACCAAACTTAGTTTTCACAAACCCTTTGCCAATCCTTAAAAAAGTTATTATTGAAGACCTCCATTTTGGTAAAGTCGTGATCTAACATTTTAGCATAAAATCCAGCGACCTCTTCAGCCGCTTCCGACAATTTGATGCGCTGACCATCGTAGAAGAAAGAAACATTCTCAGGTAGTGGCACGTACGGAGGGGCAAACATTGGGCCATTATGTTCCAAAAAACGCCATTTGTATTTACCACCACTATTTTTCTCCTCCCACCACTTCCACACTGTTTCACCTTCTTCCTCCTTCGCTTTTTTTCTTGGTGTAGCAGTAGCCGATTTCGACTTAATGTCATTTTTAAAAGGGCTTCTTTCCGGCTTTATTTTAATGTCATTATTTGTCGGCTCAGACTTCGGGCGCTTCTTCTAAAAACAAAAATATATTTCCGTGAAGGAACTTGCCGGATAATCAGATAGCGGATCATCGTATTTCCTTTTCCGCGACTCGTTCATCCTACAACACAAAATAAATTATTTCAGATTTACACTTACTTTACGGCCAACGGAACGTCATCGTCACTGGACGAATAGGAACGCTTTAAACTCATGCGTGCCGCAAGAGGAACGTCATCATCCTCGTTCTTAATGTTATGAGAGCTGCCATTGTTCATGTTCACAATATCCGAAATCGCCATTTGCCAGTTATACCTGAACGAACATCAACGTTTACTCAACAGAAAGTCAAGAATAGGACACCAGCAAAGAACACAACCCACCGGGTGCAGTTGTACCAGTTAGATGGACTTGGGTCAATTAGGTGTATTTAAACACATAAAAACCATTCAAGTAAGTGGTTTTGTTTGTACAAAGCAGCAGTTCAGTGATTGCAGATGATATTTTTATCCGATTCAGGCTTACAACTAAAAATACCCTTTTAGTCAAAAATCTTTAGGGGTGTTTGACTGGGGCCCAAATATATTGCTGTTTCTATTAAATGGTTCCACCAATAGCTATTCTAGCAGTTTTATTAATAAAACAGTCCCTTACTTCACAATATTTTATATGTAAAGCTATACATAAAGTGCCTTCTTTGCATATATCCCAATACACACATGGAAAAATAAACTCACATTAATAAGGTCAAAATGGTATATTAAATTCGTCCCATTTCCAATTTAGGATAAGAACAATTTCTCAAAGCGGTATTTATTGGTAAAATTTGGTATTATTGTGCTGCTCAATAGCTACCTTGGGCCTTTTAAAAATGCATGGTTACGATGGTTTTAATATTAAAAAATACTTTTCCAAGCTTCTTGTTCGCTTGGTCTGTTTTTAGGTATCTTTTGTATGGTTTAATCCTGTAAGCTGTAGGCTTAATACAGCAAAAAGAACATGATATTCCGATGTTATCCTTATTACACGGAACGTACAAGTTGGTGATAAACTGATTAATTTATGTTTATTTTCGGGTCTATTGTGTATTTCTCTGTGGTCATACTGGTGGCATAGATAGGTGAATTAGTGGAAACACGTATTTGTCCCTTTTATTTACATAACTACTATTTCTAGTAACTATTTTAAGCATTAACTGAACCGCGTATTACTGTGGTTGGGGTGTTCTAATTTACCGAACTGTACTGTAGCATCCCGGGACTCCCTGAAGACGAGAGAAGACAAAATACTCGGGCAGAATATATACTCAGCGCAGAGAAGGTGTCTGGGCTATTGGCATAACCCAAAAGGCCAGCCCACTCAGTGAGGTACAAGGAGGAATAAACCACTATCATATTACATAGCCTCCCTCCTCTTTTGAGCGTCGTCCCCTGCGCTCCCGCAGGTCAACCTCCCGCGTCAGCCATTACAGCGTAGTCCGTGCAGTAAAGCAACACCCACGAGCCGATCGTGCCAGTCACCAAATTAGCGCGTAACTGAGGGGATACTTGACCTCAACGTCGCTGACCCCTCTTGGCAGCTTGCCTGGATCTGCAGTTTTGTTCGGTTTAGGAATATGAATCAGGACGGTAGGGGAAATCCGTAACGAAACATCCAGATGGTTCACGGCCAGTGACGCTTCAGCTGTTAACAGCTTTTCTGCAGAACACGAGAAACTGGAAGAGATGCCGAAGGTAGACGTCAACATCAACCCTTCTATTAGGAATCACCACCATTCTCCCATCCGCAGCATATGTGGTTCTTCCGCTCCACTAAGGTTTATCACGCAGAAGTGGAAAATCACGATACATGTCCTTTAAGATTGGGTTCGCTTTCCGCTGTCACAAGTGTAGCGTCCCGGGACTCCCTGAAGACGAAAGAAGACAAAGTACTCGGGCAGAATGTATATTCAGCGCAGAGAAGGTGTCTAGACTATTGGCATGGCCCAAAAGGCCAGCCCACCCGGCGAGGTACAAGGGGGTTCATTCAAAGTACAAAAGTGGCGCCTCACCAATGCCGAGGGATAAACCCCTATCATATTACAGCACCTCCCATTTCACGTTTACTACACAGCCAATTACAGAGAATGTGGGATTTTGTAAACTGATGGATGACTATTCAGGTATTACCAACATGCGATGGAACAGCCTAACAGATAAAATCAAACGAATCGTAGAAGTGAGCTGGAGCTGATTTTGTACGTGTTGCAAGCTGACAGGCCACAAGAATATTCACAAAACTGCAAATTCGGGATAGAAAGTGCCTAATAGAACTTGAACATGCTCAAAATCGTGTGGTGCCCTACCCCACAATTGAGCAGCTTCTGTGGGCAAAAGTAAGGAATTGCCACGATTCTAACCAAAGCCGGATGCAGGGAATTTCGCCCTTACATCCTAGATTTTAAGTGAGATCAGCCTTTCGCTGATGTAAGGAATATGAATTTTGCATTTGACGCTTGAGCACAGAATGAAAAATTGTGGCTGATGGTTCACTTGTGAGTTCACATTTTGATGCTACTTTTCCCCGCAGATGGAATCTTCCTTCATCATGGTCAGGCCTCCCCAGGGTTGTAGCATTGACAGCGGCATGGCACTGATAAACTACAAATTTAAGGTGGATTTATACAGAATAGGTGTGACTTGACTGGTTTAAAAGGGATCAATCTTACCATGATCATCAGTCGGCGATGATCTGTCCATTAGCTGGAGTCACCTAACCATTCTCCACTCTACTGTTTTTTACCACAAATAAATAACTAATTCACATATAAAAATTAGCTTCTTAATTCTTCCTACATAATCATCACTCTCAAGGCAGTTGTCGGCTCTTATGCTGCGGGCTTGGTGTTTCCGGCCACGACCTGGTAACTGGATCATGCGTTTCAAACCTCTCCCATCTAGATCCGTGTTCCCAGCAAATGACACGCCATTTACCCCTTTCCCTGTACTGGACGTAGATTTTTCATTAACCAGGGCGCCAGAAGTACGTCTTATGGTTAAGTTAAAGTAATGGATGCAAATGGAAATCGGTTTAGATTTTACAGTGCCTATCTAACACCAAAAGAGTTACCTTACTCTAATGGAAAGAATGGAATCCACAGAGGCTAAATGTGGTGGAATCATGTCTGGTATTTTTCTGACACCACCCTCTTTTTAAACTCTCCGCCCCTCCACACTATCACAAGGCTGTCAATGCTCATTTGACTGCTGCATATAGCGGTGTCTCTTTGGGCCTTGTTAAATATTGTCCCAGAATACTGCCTCTCTTCTACGAGGTGGGCTTCTGTCTTGCAGGGGTTGTTCCCACATTCTACAACAAGAATGGTGTTGTTCTGTTCTATGCTAACTTCATTGCGTATTGCCTGGGCAACCAGTAACATCGGGGTGATAAACATGGTTACCATGTGACTCTATGGGCCAACTTCACCGACCTCGTCGCTGGAGCGACTAAGTACCATATGAACTAAGTTACCAAGGGTCAGGAAAGTGTCAGGCAGGTGCTTGCCTCCACGAAAGACTAACATGCTTTAAAGACTTACTTTGTTGGTGAACACTTTTCAAGGGCTGAATTGACACCCATTTAGGTCTTGAAGGTGCCCTTCGAGAAACTTATTGATGAGGCTGGTCCCGAACCCTATCCTTATCTTGCCCGTAGGTACACTAATGGTAGGTTAAAGAGGTTGCTATGGCAATGAAGCTATCCGAGAATCCTGTCGTATATGACCCTAAGAATGTTCCTAAATGCTCTTTAGTTCAAAACCATTCATGGCACATGAACAGAGACTCCGTAGAATAAGGAACAGAAGGATGGTAAGGAACATAAGAGGTTAAATGATGGGTGACTGGTGCTTGGTTGCGGGAACACAGGCAGGTGTATCCTATGATGTTAAATTTGTAACATTGTTGAAGTGTTTCGACGCTAAGACGATCCGCTACTCACAAGCATTTAAAATTTCCTCTAAAATAAAACTCCACTTTATGTGCTTACACATCTTAAGGGGGATTTGAATTAGGGATTTTATTTTCAGCAGTTTAAATGGCCATGGTAGATACTGAAGAAAAATTTTTTTGTAGAAAAGCTACAACAAAACTGTAGCTTTCCGAGTCTGTCCTGAGGCTGAAAAGGGACGTATAGAACA